TCCAAGTATTGTGTTGGATATTTTAGTGATATCAATCATTAGCTCCTTGAGTCTTGCATATGCATGTCTCCTTTATGACCTGAAATTTTAGAGTGCAAAAAGATTGTTAGTAATGAAGTCTAATGGTCCCATTTTTATAACATATGTAATTAAACCAAATTAGGTTTAGGTAGGTAAATTTACCAGTACTTTGTACAAAAGTCGATTGCTTGGGTACCTCTGTCCTATTCGTGTTTCAACCGTGAAACAGCTGTGTTTGCATGGCTGTGTTTCGGTTTGAAGGGTGGGATATGGCGTGAATTTACTGGGTATAAAGGAATAACACCTGAGTCCTCAGGAATGGCAACGTATGGGGGGTATCATGAGCGAAACAGTATACTCTGTTATGTCCATGGTACTGCTCATGTCTATAGGCGACGGTTACCACTGTCTATCAGGTGAGCCGTCAGCTTGTTTGCCATTCTAAGTTGTATAAAAAAAAATACGAAAATGCGACTCAACTGACGGTAAGCAATTAATGCCTGTAGGCGTCATCAAAGGACTTGCAGGTATATTGTTGGACATTTAGAAAGCAATATGCTCTTTTCTTGATAGTTCCAATATCATACCATTTCGAGAATACTGCCGCTGGGAATTCGTCCCATTGCTAATAATATTCCCTGTCAATTTGACCTTAACATTGTCCCCTCTGGAAAGCATTGTGGTTAATTCCTGATAGCGAATGCGGTGTAGCTATTCCATTTTCATAGCATAGAAAACCTTCGTTCTCTCCACCGACTCCAACCTCTGATCCTGTCAAGTCAACCTCTACATGGACCTCCTTGGAAAATTGTTTCTTAATTGACAGCTGTCATACAATGTTTTGGCATTAGTACGGTTGGCACTGCAATCATTGTTTATTTATAGGTACCTACCTATATAGTTGTATTAAATTTATATTATTTTGAATAAATTATTGTATTGAAATTGAAATTTAGTTAAATTTATTAGAATTCCTAATCAGGTCATCACGAAGGGTTAAGTAGCCATCTTTACACAAGTTCCCGCAATTAAAAGAATTATAACATTTTTATTGAGTTACTGCAAGAAGTAAGTTGTATTTAGCATGTGGTATCATCAAGATCCGTATCACGCGTACCCAGTCTTACTTAGTATTCGAAGACTGTCACTCCACCGGCCACTGTTAACTTATTTGGTCCTGAGTTGATTCCGAATCACAATTGTTCTTGTGCAATACAACGGCCTTTGACATTATATGTGACAAACATTATACGTGTCTCGGTGGCTGCCACCTGACCAGCACGGCGATATTTTGCTCCACAAAAAAACAACTCAATCATAACAAAATAAATATAGGACTAACACGGGAGTAAACCCTGAACAATTGGAAAGAGAATCGTAAAACTTAATTTTATGATAGGAAATAAGATACGTGTAATATCACTATCATTAAAACCTATCTATTATCCAATACTGAGTATAAATCATTTTTTTTATTTCGCCACAAAATACGAATTTGCGTCAACGCGCAACCACACTACGCATACCTACTTGATTCTGCTACGGATGTCCTACGTTCTACAACGTAATATACACGTAAAACTTTGTCAAATTGAAAATATGCTAACTCGATAAAATCCCTTTGTAATCAATTCGAAAGTAGACTACATAGATTTCAAAATAAATATTAAATATTATATAATATAATATCAAAATATATTCAGAACTGGTGAAGATTTACATATCATAAGTACTTTATCATAACAACTCTACTCTTTCTATTGGATCTATTGACTTCATATAGGATTTTATTTCGAGTTTTTCCTCTCTTGCATTGGTACCCTTAATCTCCTCTCTGGGAATGAAAACAAATGGTAAGAAACAAAAAAATACAGGATAATTGAGAACTGTTGGGAAATATGATGGAATTCTCAATTTTTACGGTGAATATGAAATAAATAAATATCTTATAACAATGAATAGCTTCCATATATTTAAAAGTAAAATTTGCAAAGAAAAAGAAAAAAAATAAAAGAAGATCAATGACAGGCGAAAATGGCTATTTAAAAAAGTAACCAAAAAGGTTGCAATCTTCAATAAGAAGCTCTTGGTTTTTGGAGTTGTATGAAAATGTAATGGTATATATCAAATAGATAATATCATTAGAATTGTAATATATATTTGGGCTGACTTTTTAAAATAGTCATACAATGTGCCACGTGCATCATTGTTCCTAAAGGCTTTGTACCAATTACGTCTTTGTCGTTAATTGGTATTCTGATGTTCAAATGTCGTTCAATGTATTGTATAACGCGGCATATTGTTTTATTAACAAAGGCTGTTGAATGCAATGCAAAAACATGCATAATAATTGCATTGCATACAATGCTATTGACATTCGAAGAAAAGAGTTGCCATACCAAAAATAGGAATCAAACAAACATCGATTTAATTAATCAAATCAATATACTTTAAACAAGAGCATTTAACTCCAAAAAACAGCGACTTCATACGGTAGAAAATAATGAACGATAAGATATTTCTTAGAACATTACATTAAAATGAAAAATAACATATCTACAATTTAATTTTGCTTTGTAAATAAAAATCTTAGTCATCATCTCATTAATTCTATATTAATGTAATCAACTTTATACAAAAATAACATGAAAATGAACTACAATACATCAATTTCGAAAAGGTTTAAAATTGATAACGTATTAGCGCAACAGAATAATTGCGTAACTCTCCTCTTCTCCTTTTATAAATTGTTGCAAATTGTCGTCAATACCACTATATTTTCATTTGACTTCAAAAAAAGGAGATTTTCAATACGATTGTATATTTATTATATTTGTTGCCACATACCTCCGTTAGTTGTAAACCGATTTGGAAAATTCATTTTTATCTGAAAGGATATACTTATAGGTTTGTTTCATAGAAATTGTATCAAAATCGGTTTAATAGTTTTTAAATTAAAATAACTGGTTTTCACACAGTTAAAATCGGTTTTTTTATTTGGGACACAATCTTTGATTATTATATACATACTATATTACATTTTTATCACTGTCAATTAATAATCTATTAGCATTAATTTTGTGACATTCGATACAGTTTATAGGTCCTAATACTTTGGTTGGGAGGAGCAAGGAATTGTTAGTAATGGGGAGGTTAGTCAATTTGTTTTGTCAATTTGTCAAATTGTTATCAATATACCCGTTAGGTTGACCTCCACGCGGTTCCCCCTGGAAACTATCGTGACTAATTTATCGTTGAATTTGTCACGATAGGCTAACTGATCTGCCTTTTCATCCTCACCTATCACCTCTCACTGGTGCCCCGCCAGTTTATGCCGATAGCGCAAGCGGGGTTACCATGCCATTTTCATCCATTAAAAAAAAATACTTGGGTTGTGATAGAAGTCAATTATTTTTAAATGCTTCGATGTTATTTAACCGATTATAAAGTTTTGACTGATTTCTTGTGAAGTTGTCACTCTTAACGGCGCCGAATCAATCTAATGAGATTAAATCAACATAAAATTGATTTATTTGAAATGGTATTTGTAGAAGGCAAAACTTTAAATTAGAACTGTACTTTACACAGATACCGAAGTTTTTGTGGTAATTTCAGTGAAGACAAACTGTTTTAAATTGAAGTTTGTTTTATTTAATTAATTGGATTTTATACTGTTAAGCTGATAATATTATTTAGTCTGGAATTATATACATATATCGTATAATTGTATATCCTTTCTAATTGATAACTGTGGAATTGAGTTTATATGTTTATTTGTTACCTCTTAAACGTATAACTACAGTCATTGTGAAATTATGCACAAATCAGTACTTGGCATGAAGAAGGGCTTAGATTACTTTCTTTGGACTTATGTTCCAGTCATGCAAACGAAATCTTGAGCACAGCTTGTAATTATTGCAGTCTCTGAACTAACTACATCCATCAACTTCCTGCAAAACTTTTCAGTCAAATTCTCGTTTCTTCAAAGCCTCAACTATCGTCTACATGGGTATTTCTGGCCCATTTTTATGATGAACAACCTTATTAGTCATTACTAATATTATAAATGTGAAAATGTGTTTGTTACCTTATAGCACCTTAAAGGCTTTACCAATTACTTTGAAATTTGCTATACACGTTCTATATGGGATTATGAAAGATGTTAAGTGAAGCTATTTTTTATCCCGGTCAATATCTAAACGCAGACGAAGTCGTGGATAAAAAATAGAACTTTATAGATAGTTCTCAATATTTTGCCTATATTCTATTTTTATGTATGGTTATGCAAAGAACGCCCAAACTTTTTCATTTATAATATTGGTAGGGTACTTTAGGAACATAATGACATAAGACATAAGAACAGACATGTCTAAGTATTCTCTCTTCACACTTTCACAAAATGTTCAATAAGTATCCACAAATAGACTTATTTTATTGTACACATGAAGGGTATCTTTTTTCTTTATAGTTAGAGGTGCATTTGTTCAGACATCCCGTCCTCGCTATTCGACACGGATGGCGGGATGCCTGCTGTATTGGACACACTGAGTATATAAATTTGGGGATAGAGTGCAAATTAGAGGACATAAATTAAGATTGACGACCTAAGACTGCTACTGAGATAATAGAGTGGTCGGCCCTCGATTAGGCAACCCCAATCATCTTCCGTTCGCCCATTCGAGAATATCTCAGGATGGCAACGAAGTTCATCTCTGGTGTTAATTAATGTGAAATAATTTGTATAAGGCCTTGTAATGTAAATTGGTGAAAGCTGTAATGCCTGATACATGTTAATGTTTTGTAAATAAATAAGTAATTGTTTTTTTACACTTTAAAGAAATTTTCTATGTTGAGCTAAAATGCGATCTTCTAGGTTGCAATCTCAGATATTTTTTCTTTAGTGTCCCATTTATGGATCAGGCAAATTGACATGATAATTATTATTATTACTTATCTATATATGTATATTTATATTGTAGATGGGTCACCGCGTCCCGAGATACTCAAGTTTACTGTGGGGTGTCTGCATTCCAAGTTCTTGCAGCAGTTTCGACTTGGAAGAAGAGCTTTCGCAACGTTTAGCCAACCTTGGCATGACAGTCAAGGTCCATAACACTATGTGCACTGTGAAGAATATCAATAGGCCATACTCATTTGGCAAGACTTTATCCATGTAAGTATTGAAAACGAGTCACTGTCTCCTCGGACTTTGCCCATGCGAACTGGGCACTGCCATTTCCGTAGGAATTTCTTTATTCTTTTTATGCTACATGGAATGGCAAATAAATTGACAATCCACTTGATCAAAAGTGGAATAATACAGAACTATGGGAATAGTGCTTAGTGAATATCTATGTCATAAATGGAATGCCTGCATCCGAATTTCGAGTTTCTAACCAAGTAAGCTCTACGCGTATCAGACAAGTACAATTCTTAAGTTTTATAACTTTAATAAATATTATATTAAGACTAAGAGTATCCCATGACACTGTCCGCGTAGATCAGTATAATTAACATGTATTTTAGTCGAGAAAGCTTAACTAGTTTCGGAGCCATCCGAGACCCTTAATCGTAAGCGGCCGTACGCGCGCGAGCTTGACGAAACTTGTCGAGCTTCTTACTAGACTTTTAACAATAAAATAATCTACCTGCCAAATTTCGCTTTGGTAGATCTAGTATTTTTTCTATTCTTCTCTCTGTCTCTTACATCAATCACCTTTTACAACGTCCTGGTAATGATGAGAATGGTGATTGATATTGAATTATATCTGAGTCCTTTTCAATTAATTCGTAATTTAATTTTGCAGCACATTTTTCCTAGCAATATTTTTATTACTGAGCTTAGGAACGATGCTCGACGATGGTAAAGAAGGCGTTACAAATTTCGAAAAATTGCTCAATGCATTTTCACTGAAAAGAAATTTCAAGAAAATCTTCGATTTGTCGGATGGCCAAACGAGAGTCAAAGGCGTTGACGCATTCAGAGGTTTGAATGCCTTTGCCCTGCTCATCGCTCATAAATCTATGGCAATGGCCCACAACCCTTATGTGAACAAAGTCGGCTTCGCGATGGTAAGACATCTATTATCCAAATATTTCGCAGTTCTCACTTTTTTTAATGCATAAAAATGGAACGATATCTCATTATCATATATCATATACATCATTATTCAGGCAATGATATAAAGAAACCAATAAGTTTACACTAACGAGATACCAGCGTGGAGTGATAGGTAAAAATGAAGTTAGTTCCTTTAGCTCCGAAAGACGAAATCATAAGGAATAAATACCAAATATGGCAAATAGGGGATTGCAAATCTGATAGCGTACACACACACACACAGTTTCATGTAACCAGGTACTAGTAGGTTCGAGAAGCTAACCCAGACCCGGGACAATTTATAAAAGATCTTTTTCTAAATTGGCCCCGCCGAGAATTGAATCTGAAACCACATTTAAGTGCAACATGTATGCAACGGAGATTAAAATTAAACAGATTAAGAAATTGCATTCTTCAAGGAATGTAGAATGTTATGCTCTTACTATCTTTTATACAATTTCTACATTTTGTTTTTAATAATGATAATATTAGTTGAAAGTCTATTTTCTGATTTCGAATATAACAAAATTATTTGCTTGGGAAAATATGTTTGACCACGGATTGTGTCCGTGAATTTTTGGCTATATTTAGAATACAATATAGCCTAAAGCGTTAGCCAGGAAAATAAATTACGTTATCTGAATCTATCCAATAGTGTCAAACATAGTAAGAGACTGATACATCTCAACTATTTATTATTAGTGTATGAAAATAGATTTCGCAGCAACTGAAATCCCCTTTAACCGCTGGAATTTAATTTAGATACTAAGTTTATATCAAACCACTTTGATTTAAACACTTCTGTTCTGAGAATCTACCATAAAATAGTCATTCCTAACTTCATGTAGATTTCAACATGAAGTTTCTTTCGATCTATTTATTTTTGACGGTAACCATAGAGTATTTTTAGGAACAATAAAAAATGAGAGGTATTTTGTTATGCACTTTTGTATTAATTTATATTTATATATAAATTTATATCATATATTAATTTATAAAAGATACGAACTGGAATATATAATAAAATTATGAACTTATGAAATTAATATATAATAAGGCCGGTTTCGACTAAGATGAAAGATTCTAGGGTTCTGTACGCGTACATTTCTTACTCTATAGTATTTTCATACATAGGTAACTTCTAAATTAATTTCTCATAAACATTGATTTAGTTATTACCAATAAAAAAAGGTATAATGACTTTATCTACAAAAATATTTCATATTTGCTAGATCACAAGAAGTAAGTTTTATTATTCTTAATAAGCACTAATCACAAATATATGCCAATATATTTGACATTAAAAGTAATTACTTTAAAATTGGACTAAGTTGTTTGAAAAAATGCAAATACTACTTATTTGTAAAAATATTTCATAGTATTTAACTATTTATATAACGGTTTTTGTAATCTTTATGATTATGATTACTATAATAAACAAATTAAAGTTAAATTCCTTATTGGACACTTTATAATTTTCATTCATATAACAGGAAAAATAAATTAAGTACGCAAATAATTAATCAAGGACGTATCATCTTAAAACAGTAAACATTTTTGACACCAATTAATTTCACTTTTAACGTTTTACTCCAAACTTCATACATTCGAAAATAAAAAGTTACCTCTTGAATAGTCCTATAATTTTAGGTTAAAATCACAATATATGTGTTATCAATATGCTACAATTTCTTTCGTTCTGACGCTTTATGATTGCTTTTATAATGAAATAAACGTCACTCTCCGACTTCAAATCAGATTTTGGAATGAAAATATTTTATAATACGTATTACACGAAATTTCAATCCGAAACTTCGAAATCACCATTCATGGTAGCCCCTCTGTACTTTAACGATTATCTACTTTCGTCGGAAGAGCGCTCCAAAAATGTATTGACATCATAGAATGGAATGAAGGCCCCCAAAGTTTTACAGCGAACAATGTATTCATTAAATTTGTCGACGAAGATACTTTATCATGGAATAATGTTGGGATATTTACATTTGTGGTGTCCTGGTTTTAATAAAGTTTCTCTATATTTTAGACGTTCGGCATGCCGTGGGCTGTTGTGGGTCGTTCAGCAATATTGTACACGGACAGTTTTCTTTACCTGAGTGGATATTTGAACGCTCACAACCTTTTGCAAGATCTCGAGAGAAAAGGAACTATCGATGTAAAGAACAGACTTATTGGTAGATGGTTTAGGTAAGTTTTTACTCTAATTATATGATTACTCTATTGATAACAGCAAATTACAAAATTAGAAAAAATATGGCCAAGTACAAATCGAACTCTCACATCAAGGGTTCCATAAAAATTATTTTTTTATACAACTTCGAATGCCACACAAGCTGACGGCCGACCTGATGGAAAGTGGTAACCGTCGCCTATAGACATGAGCAGTACCATGGATATAACAGAGTATACTGTTTCGCTCATATTACCCCCCATACGTTGCCATTCCTGAGAATTTAGATGTTATTCCTCTGTACCCTGTAAGTTCACGCCATATCCCATCCTTCAAACCGAAACACAGACATGCAAATACAACTGCTTTATGGTTGAAACACGAATGGGACAGAGGTAGCCAAGCAAACGACTTTTGTACAAAGTCTCCCTCTGGTTGCAAATTATACTTGCAGTCTATGATGAAGGCCTATTTTCAGCAGTGGACAGATAATGACTCAAATAATGATGATGATGATTTAGTACTTTAATAAACAAAACGTGAATATCTACTATTAGATTTTGAATCAGTTTACTAATCAACATTATTGTTAATACTGAATCTCATTATATTCCAATTATCAACGCTGCGCGTGGATGTCAATCATTAATTATTTATTAATACACAAATTATACAAAATATTAATACACGTGGATATCTAATAGACTTTGTATATCATTAATGCTTATGGAACATACTAAAACAAGGTTTTTTTTTTATTTTTTAAAGCGTGATAATGGAATGGTAACCCCACCCGCACTATCGGTATACACCGGCGGGGCACCAGTGAAGGATGATAGGTGAGGATAAAGCAGGTCAGTTAGCCCATCGTGACGAATTCAACAAGAATTGTTCACGATGGTTTCCAGGGGGGAACCACGTGGAAGTCAATCTAATAGGGCATATTGCTGGCAATGGGGCTGTCAAACTCCATTATCAACAATCCCTTTCCCCCCACTAAAACAATGTTAAAATTAAGTAAAAAATTAGCTGAATGCATGACAATATTTAACAACTGAAGCAACCGAATTTCATTCCCTATTATATAATAATAACTACTATATTTTAACCGCAATTTCGTCCATGTGGTCAGAATGTGTTCATTGACTAAGATAAAAAAAGTAGCCTATATCCTTCTCAATCCCAAATAATACGTGTATAACAAATATCACTGTAATTGGTTAAGTCGTTAAGGCACTATGTAACAAATAAACAAACTCACTTTCATATTTATATTATTAATAAGGATAATGCATTATATTATTATACCAATTGATATAACATAATATATGATATAATAAATAAAAAGTAATGAATTAGGATAATAAAACTATTTTGTAGATATTGTTATTAATATATCTTTCTTTGCGTAGCAAAATGCTGCTTGTTGCAGAGCAAAATAAATTATTCCGTTTATGTAATATAATGATCCATTCATATAGATGAATTCATTTCAAATAAAATAAGGATTTTAAAATAAAGTTTATTATTTTTTAGTTAAAATCAACAGCCAGCCTACGTTCACATGAAAAGGGTTTGCAACATCGATCAATCTTTTCCACTATTTAAAAACTAAAGAAGTATATATTCAAAAATATTGTAATAGAAACACATACATTCACCAGGTCCCTTAAGGATTGAAATAAAAATCTATAATTACAATAATTTAATGTAGTATTATTAGTGTATTTCATAGAACAGTCAACATACCCCAATATATTGTTGTAACTGTCAGTGTTTACCGATAGACGGGGATAACATTTATTCCTTCTAACACTAGTAAAATATTCCAGATTGTTCCCGTTGTTCCTCAGCCTGATGTTGTTTTGCACATACATCCTGCCTGATGTCAACAATGGACCGCAGTGGAACCTGGTGGTAGAGGAACACAGCAGGGTCTGCGAGAGGACCATGTGGAAGAGTTTCCTCTTCATCCACAATTATTTCGGCTTCGAAGAAATGGTAAGATAAATTCAAATTACAAATTATTTTAATGCTGTGTAAGTTCATCGAATGAGAACAGCTGGACAGATTTGACCTTTTTTTTTATATTCCAATTTTGGAACAAATATTATGATTTTTGTATAAGTCATAACTGACAATAAAAGCAACATTATGGCCGCCCCTTCCTTTCCCGTGGGTGTAGTAAAAGGCGACTATGGGAGAACGAGAGATGGGCAGCAGCGTCCCTCTTAAAACATCTCCACAACCTAACTGCAGTTGCCAATCTGTCTGCCTAACGTAGCAACTATTAGCAAAATTGCATTATATTTATTTATAATTTAAAATAATTTAATCACAATTTCCGCTATTTATTTATATTGCTAATATCTTTAATTCATTTATAATATAAATAAATATAACGACATAATTAAATTAATTTAATGACATTTAATGATTTAATTTCATTTTAATATTTATCAAACACAAAGCATGCTGTGGTTGCCTATAAATGTAAGAACAGTTAGATCTAATCTACATGTGTATAGTATCGAAATGCTTCACTGTATCTTATATTGGTGATCCTATAAATAAACACCTATAAAGGGAGACTTTGTACAAAAGTCGATTGCTTGGGTACCTCTGTCCCATTCATGTTTCAACCGTAAAGCAGTTGTGTTTGCATGACTGTGTTTCGGTTTGAAGGGTGGAATATGGCGTGAATTTACTAGGTACGGAGGAATAACACCTGAGTCCTCAGGAATGGCAACGCATGGGGGGTGTCATGGGCGAAACAGTATACTATGTTATGTCCATGGTACTGCTCATGTCTGTAGGCGACGGTTACCACTTTCCATCAGGTGCGCCGTCAGCTTGTGTGGCATTCGAAGTTGTATAAAAAAAAACTTCTCCAGAAGGACGCTTATGTAGTAGCAGTGGACAGTTAAAAGCTGATATCAGCATAATATAGGTTCAGCACGTTAAGTCCTGATAATGTATTTAAAATATGTTTCTTTTCTGCTTATATTTATATTATTATTCATGTTTTTAAATTACATTATAACTTCAAAGAGCAGATGAGAAAAAAATACTTTGTTTCCAAGATATTCAACCGTATATTTCAAAATTTCACTTGTGCTCTTCTCAAATATTTCGTAAATAAACATTTACTAAAGAGAAAAATTGCCACGAACAAAATTCTAGGCGTCAATAATAGAAAACATGTAAAATGTAAAATAATAAAACTGAAACTTCTAGAAATATGATCTCTGAGTACTACAAAACTAATTTACTTTACCAGAGGGAGACTTTGTACAAAAGTCGATGGCTTGGGTATCTCTGTCCCATTCGTGTTTCTACCGTGAAACAGTTGTGTTTGCATGGCTGTGTTTCGGTTTGAAGGGTGGGATATGGCGTGAATTTACAGGGTACAGAGGAATAACACCTGAGTCATCAGGAGTGGCATCGCACGAGGGGTATTATGGGCGAAACAGTATACTCTGTTATCTCCATGGTGCTGCTCATGTCTATAGGCGACGATTACCACTTTCCATCAGCTTTTTTGCCATTCTAAGTTGTATAAAAAAAAAGAAAATTATTTTTCTTTAGACATTAATAAGTAATTAAAAGATAAAAATTGAAAATATTAAGCGAAAATGAGTTGAAATATCGATAAAAGATGCTCAAGCGGACGTATGTCGACTAAATAGCTGGGTGACATGTTGAAAAGGGTCAAGTTCAAAAACCGACAAGCTTTTATGAATAGATTGATAAATGTAAAGGGACGAAAGAGGCCGTTTGAATCAGAAAATTTAACGTTCTATTGTTTCTGCCTACTCTAAGGGAGAAGGGCGTGACGTGTATATACCTACAGATGAAATAGAAATTCTATGAAACATCCGTTTATCTCTTAAAATCGTCTTCAAATTAGTTCCTATTTTGTATTCCACCAGTGTAATAGTGTTTTTGGAGGATTTTGGCGACCGAGTACGGGTAAACGCAGTGTAGAACAACCCCCCACTAGATGGAGTGACGACCTGAAATGCGATGCAGGGAGTCAGTGGATGCAGGTGGCTCAGGACCATTCTTTACGGCAGTCTATGGGGAAGGCTTATGTCCAGCAGTGGACGTATGATGGCTAAAATGATGAATAGTGTTTTTAGCAAAGAAATATCAGTGACAATACTAACATTGTCTAGTTACTTTCAAAATGTTTTGTTTACTAATTCACCGATGATATTTTGGGTAAATTGTAAAATTTACTAACAGAATACTCTCGTAAAAACGTGCCAATAATAATTTCTGTATCGCCCTATATATTAGTGAGATCAATAAACCAAATCTAAAACGTAATTCGCACTAAGAGCTAAGCTAAGCGAACCTCATTCAATTTAGCTCAATTAGCTTAATGTACATCCAAGTATAATAGCTACTCAAAGCCATACAAACTAAAATATCTAAACTAATATTAAAACTTAAAGATAAACGAAAGATTCTTACTATAATGTCATAAATGTAAAAGTTTATTTGTTTGTTTGTTACCTTATATCGCCTTAACGGCTTAACCAATCACTATAAAATTTAATATATACGTATTATATGGAATAAAGAAGGATATAGACAACTTTATCCTGGTCAGTAAACATATCGTAGACGCAGACGAAGTCGCGGGTCAAAGCTAGTATATAAAAATAGGACATCTCTTCACACCAACTCAAGAAGCGATGGTTAGCTTAGCTGGCAATTTCGAATTACTTAGCTCATGTCAGTTCACTAAACTATTTATACATATAGCTAAGTGAACGCTTAGCTCAGCTCTCTGTATGGCTTGCACTTTATTATGAAGCAATAGGTATGTTTAATCAGTAGGGTACGACCGCTGAGTAAATTCCCATTCGATCATACGATACAATTTCCACTGTCTATTAAACAATAGCGTCATATTAAACAATTTACTCCAGTTCCCACATGTTATATAACGTTACTGTGCCCACCCACGCGTTTATCTGGGGTGCTCTGATTCGTGTCAAATACCTGATACATGCTAATACGTTGCTTTACTCGAATTGTAATATTATTAATTTAGTTCATTGATTTACACGTAATAAAGTAAACAGTATACAAAATTTATACCGACAGAATTTATACAGAATCATTATATAAAATATGCTATAATATAAAATTATTTATTTATTTAACTAACTAATTATGAATTGATAATGATTTAAGCCGTAGCTAAAACTGACATTGCTGCAATTTTATTATTAAACTATTTATTGATTAATATTACAATATGAATATAAATAATTATAAACTACAGAATATATTAAATAACAATATTATACTAATAACAATTACGATATGAATACGTACGATAGAAAATACGTACTTATCGTGATATACTATTTCGAAAGTGAAAAAAGTGTTGTCCTCCTCTCTCCTACTTGCTGTGCCCAACAGGGTCCATAATTGAAACGTTATGTACTAATTATGTTATGGAATGCAATTAGAAATAAATAAATCTATTTATTGGTTTCCTATGGACATTGGTGGCGGAAAAAGGTCACCAACCATTTTCTTATTGCCCATATTTTTTTTTATACAACTTAGAATGGCAAACAAACTGACGGCCCACCTGATGGTAAGTGGTAACCGTCGCCTATAGACATGAGCAGTACCATGGACATAACAAAGTATACTGTTTCGCCAATGATACCCCCCATGCGTTGCCATTCCTGAGAACTCAGGTGTTATTCCTCTGTACCCAGTAAATTCACGCTATATCCCACCCTTCAAACCGAAACACAGCTACTGCTTCTCGGTTGAAACATTAATGGGACAGAGGTACCCAAGCAATCGACTTTTGTACAAAGTCTCCCTCTGATATATATTTATTTCTATATTTATTTCGATCAGACTGTTCATTTTGTTATTATATATTGGGTAATCAATATTTAACAAATCTGTTACTTGCCAAATATATATATTATAACTACAATATATAGATATTGCTATATATTACTCCCCCCCCCCCCCCCTCCTGTACAATGTGTTCTGTGATGTTCTTGTTGCAATTATCATTATACAAAGCTGAGACGTTATAACAGACTGTTTTTTGACGAATTACATCTTACAGAAGTCTATCCAAATATCTTGTCCACATGTGTTTTTTATGCAACTTAGCAAATGGCAAACAAATTGACAGCCCATTATGGACATTATTATGACCATGATATATATTTTATACTTTGATACTTTGTAATTTCATTGTAGTTTACTTGTAAGCGCTTACATCTTTGTCAAGCGTATAAATCCATCGTTATAAGATTAATTCTTACGACAGTTACCTACTAAATAAAAAAATGTGAATATATTCAATGCAAGCGTATGTAAAATTGCAAATGAGACTGCATTATCAATTTGGGTGCTCTAATTGCATTGTTACTATAGCTCAGCATAATTAATCTTAAAATTTATATATAACACTAAATTATTTTTTTATTTAACAGATTTGCATGGCAATACAAACAGTTATAAAAATGCAAACTATTAAAAAATATAAAATAGACATTACAAAATTAATAGACATTTGAAAATTACAATCTAGTCAATGAATAATAAAGAAAGCGTTATGACCTTGTAAAGAAATAGGTAATAATAATAAATAGACTTAGTACAGCGCCATCTAGTGACCAATCCATACAATATTTGTACTCATTAGGTACTAACAAGGATTTTGATTATGTTACAAAATTTTACATATTACTTAATATTACTAAAAATGTTATTATGTAAACATATACAATACATACATTTAATACATAGAAAATGTCCAGACAAACAAGTTCTCACGTTCCACATGACGAACGGTATTATACTTCCGTACCCTGCAATTTCACTGCCATATCCCACACCCTTCTAACCGAAATATAGCCATGCAAGCATAGATGCTTGTAAAAACACGGTTAGAAATGGTGGTACATAGTAAATAACTTTGTACAAAAATCTTATAAAACCTTATTCTAACTATTAATTGAAATGTTTCATTTTCAGTACGAATTATTTGTTGAGGTTTTAAAAAGTACAAAATAAATAATTACTATGTTCTTTTTAATACACAATGTTTTATTTTTAAAATTGAAAATGTCAAACGAACTGATAAAAGTGATAACCCTTGATTGCAGGCATGAAATATGCGTTGATAAACTGGATCAGCATATTTTATGATACATTCCTGGAAATGTAACAGTTCCGAAAATCCCTTTGTACACTACACATGTATGAAATTGATTAATTATATCCGTGATACGTTCAAAATAATAACATTCAGTAATTAGCCTCATTCAAAACAGTTGATTCACATAACGATTTCGTTTAAATGTTTCTTAATTAAATTTTGATGTTTTTTAATTATCTCCAATTAATATAAGTATTAGATAGAGTACGTATTTATCACTTTAAACTTCAGTAAGAAAGATTAATTAATTTATTTATTTTTATTTTATTTTATTTGGAAACAAACAATTTCTTATTACTTTTAATATGTAGGTACATATAAATAACATACAAATCAGCAAATTTTTCACAGGCAATTAGATCATATTTAACATTGAATAGATTATTATAATTATTTCAGCCGATAACTGTCCACTGCTGAACATAGGCCTTCACCATAAGGGGAGTTTTGCCAGTAGCTGCCACGCTTGGCAGGTGAATTGGCAACCGCACTTAGACTTTGGTGATGTTTTAGAAGGGACGCTGCTGTCCATCCTTCTACAATTAAGTTCTCTCAGTCTTTTTTTTTTATACAACTTAGAATGGCAAACGAGCTGACGGCCCACCTGATGGAAAGTGGTAACCGTCGCCTATAGACATGAGCAGTACCGTGGACATAACAGAGTATACTGTTTCGCCCATGATACCCCCCCACGCGTTGCCATTCCTGAGGACTCAGGTGTTATTCCTCTGTACCCAGTAAATTAACGCCATATCCCACCCTTCAAACCGAAACACAGCCATGCAAACACAGCTGCTTCACGGTTGAAACACAGCTTTGGTGCTGTTTTAACAACTCCCTCTGATATAAACATATACGAGTATATATGTTAAATCTACCAATATTTATAAAATAACTATTTTTCCAGTGTCTCACGCACACCCATCAGCTCGGTATGGACATGCAGCTATATGTGGCGACGTTGCCTCTAATGTTAGTGCTGGTGAAGTCAAAGACCCTCGGCCTCTCACTGATCTTCGCCACTGCACTAGCCTCCACAGTCTTGAGATATCTCGCCGTACACTGGTATCAAATCAGTATGTTCGTGTACTATGGCATATCGTGAGTATCTTTAAACATAATTGAATTTCTTTTTGTCAAAATGTATGAAGCAAATGTATATAAAATTTTGCCTTTTGCGCTTGATTTTCCCTATTTATCTCATATTGGATTTTTTTATAGATACCCTTCAATAGGTCATACGATTAATCACGACCTCACCTGATAGAAAGCGATGATTTTTTTTTATACCACTGAGGTGGCAAACAAGCATACGGCCCACTTGATGGTAAGCGGTTACCGTAGCCTATGAACGCCTGCAATACCAGAGGTATTACGCGCGCGTTGCCGACCCTGAAGAAACCTCTTTACCCCCCTTTTGAAGAACCCCATGCTGTAGTCTTTCGGGAAAACCTCGGCAGATGATGTGGTCTAAGATGAATATATACACGTATTTCTTATATAACAAACAAGCTAAAGGCTCATTTAATGTAAGATTCTTATCCTTAACTATAGGGAATAAAGACATAGTTAGCAATGGGAATCTAACAGCCCCATTACTAGCAATATACCCAATTAGATCGACCTCTACACGGTTCCTCCTGGAAACCATCTTCTTTATTAAGGCCAATAGACCTGCTTTCATTCTCGTCTATCGTCACTCACTGATGCCACACTGCGTACGCCGATAGCGCAGGCGGAGTCACCATGCCATTATCATTCATTAAAAAAAAGTAGTGATTACTTGCTCTGTGAGTATGTATGTGTATGTTATATGTATGTGTGTTTACATATACAGTAATGTCTGTGGTGCGGTTCATTTTTTTGCTATTTCAAGCTACATAAAAAAAAATATTTAAATATTTTATTTTGTTTAAAAACAGTTTTTTTTTTTTTTATGTTACTTATTTGATACGTAATAAAACGTCATGGTGCTTTTTATAGATTGTCATTTTTTAATATTAACAATGCCCTGTAAATTCAGTGTTGCCAGTGCATGGAGTTAGAAACACGATTGAAATAATGATATCCATGCAGATAATTTCTATACGAAATTACCTACTAGGTCTAATTTTGTGCAAATTTCTAACATTTACAATATATACATGAACAATACGTATAAACATCAAAGATAATTCTGTGCCTATAATAACATACATTACATTATTCGTATTTCAAACCAAGGTACGGATTATAATTTGATAACGACACAGCGGTTGAATGTTAATTAATAAAACGTTGGAACATATTAAAATGAGGAAAACTGGATTGTAATTGTAACCAGCGGTGGATATATCTTCCTAAAAGTGAAATGGGAAAATGCCAGGGGCGGCCGATTTGGTGAGGCGACCAGCAGGCTGCGGCTTACCTAAACGTTTATGATTTAGTAGCAAACCAATATATTTTCCCGAAGCGCAGAATTTGGAAATACGTTACTGGCTGAACCATACACGAGAGTAAATACATTGTATATTAAGAGTATGGGGACGAAATAAAAAAAAAATATATGTTTCTAAAAGTTTTAATGCCATTTTAGAAAGAAAAAACACAATTTGTCATTCCTTTTCATCAGAAGAATCTCATAAAATACTTTTAAAGAAACAAGCATAAAACTTAATGAGTATGAACATTTAAAGCAGAATGCAATACCAAACCGACTGGCCAGTACCATAACATTACACTAATATTAACAAATTCTTATTTCAAGCAAGTTTACCATTATCTTCTGATTAAGATATACTTTTGCTCAAAATAATAGTAGGTACCAGAGGGAGACTTTGTACAAAAGTCGATTGCTTGGGTACCTCTGTCCCATTCGTGTTTCAACCGTGAAGCAGTTGTGTTTGCATGGCTGTGTTTCGGTTTGAAGGGTGGGATATGCCGAGAATTTACTGGGTACAGAGGAAAAACACCTGAGTCCTCAGGAATGACAACGAATTTTTTTATACCCCCATGCGTTGCCATTCCTGAGGACTCAGGTGTATGGGCGAAACAGTATACTCTGTTATATCCATGGTACTGCTGATGTCTATAGTTGACGGTTACCACTTTCCATCAGGTGGGCCGTCAGCTTGTTTGCCATTCTAAGTTGTATAAAAAAAAGATATAGAATAAGATATAATGAAATGTGCTTTTAAATAAGTCTGTTTAATAAAGTCATTTTGCCTGATTAATTTAACACACTATAATTATCAATATCAATCAGCAATATCAATATAATCAACTAAATCAAATACGTAATGTCTACATAGATGGAACGAAATTATTCTCTGCATATTTGCTTATGCCTTTGATACATATTGGTAAATTTCCTTGCAGTTTCCACTATCATTCAAATGAATTCTTGGGGAACATTTTACTTTATATATCATAGTTACATAAATGCATTTAAATTAGTTAAAAAGTAATATTATCAAATCTAGATATACGCGAAACGAAATTAGATCTCTAGGAACGTATTTAATTTTCTCTAAGAAACATATGTGTGATTTTTTTACAGAATTATGTATATATGTAATGGCATGTAGTGATATTAAAAATTCCTTGAGAATGTAAACATACATATTTACGGCGTTTAGAGTAGAGACTCCAGGTCCGCGGGGGCATATGGCCTCGGTATTATTAAAACAGGTATCTTGCCGACTGGTAGAAATTTCTGGTGAAAACTGGTCTATATCTGGGCCTTAGCCCAGATATAGATCACCAGAAATTCAACTTTAAACGAAGCTGGACTTCTATCACTATACAGCGACGCAATACGATTATCTACCTTAGAAACAGTTCTGTCGGCAGTAACCTAAAAATAAATGATATAGGTATATATTAAATAAATATTTATTAACCTTCATAACATTGCATTTTTATGCAAAATATATGTATTGAATATATATTGAAAGGAATGTAAACTCAGAGAATGTATTACATTATATATGTAATGTATTACATTTTTCTTTTTTCATTTACTAGCTATCGATTTGTGAAGGTATTACGAATTCTACATATCAAGAATATGTAAAAAAAAATGGTACCTATATTATATTTTCAATCTACGACTGAATATATAGAGATGTAGTTATATCAAGAGACGTACAATGCATTATGATATTGAAATCATTAAGTATACATATAGGAAATGCACATAACAATAGGGGACTGATGCAGCGACGAGATAGTCTTAATATCTATTTAAAGTATATGACATATTACATGCATAATTTATTGCTGTCACGTAATAAAATCAACAATTATAATGAAGAACAATCGTTACACATTCTTTACCCTTAGAATATGACCAGTGGCATAACAATAAGGTTGCAGAGCGGGCAATATGAAACTGCAACATTGAGCTGTTTTAAATAAAGGCAGGGTCCCATCCGATGATTTTGCCAGGTGTCTTAGATTGTATAGTGACGTCACTGAGTATGATATAAAACTGAAAAGACTTTAAATGTACAAACATTTTGGTGCTTAGATTATTTAGATAGAATGACTCCATAGAAATGCTTAGAGAAATACTATATATAGGGTCAACTTTTTCATACATTTTTGCGTGATAAATAATTATGAGTGCATCCTTTATAAGTTCTATATTTATTTTGTCTTATAATTTCTGCATTTTTTTAATATGGAATCCTTCATTTTATTTATTAAATAATATGTCAAGATATATTTTATGTGTAAGTACATAGAAAACTGATAAAAAAAAACGAGTCGGTTAATTCGACAATAAGCTGACAAAAAGTTGACTCTTTTTTGAGGCTCCATACTCTATCTATATAATCTAAGGTCCTTATATGCAATTTTATGTAGGTATTTGTATTTAAAAAGAAATAGGTTCTTCAAGTAGAAATGCTAATCTGACCTTTTATCAATGTGAGTGTAAGTGAAAAAAATACATATATTTATTATTGTTGCAGAGTTCAGAAATTATTAGACGCAGCGAGGTACTCCTACATACTCCCCACACATCGCGCTACAATATACCTCATAGGAGTAGCCATGGCGTACTTTATGCGAACGAAAAAGTTTAATTTTACTTTGTCTAATGTAAGTTACTTTATAATTATTAATATGTAAACTATCAAAGAATCGACAACCGATGGGAAAGAAAGGTTCTTGAGTGGCGACCCCGTACGGGCAAACGCAGTGCTCCCACTAGATGGAATGATGACCTCAAATGCATTGCAAGGAGTCAATGGATTCAGGTGGCTCTGGACTGTTCCTTATGACAGTCTGTGGGAGAGCCTTATGTTCAGCAGTGAATAATGACATCATCTTAGCCATGATTATAATGATGGTGAATCTATCGACATTCTGACTGTTCAAATCGTCATTCACATCTTAAGGATTATAATATTTACAATTAACTTCGGAATAATTTAAGATTTGGTTTCACACACAACAAAAAAAAACCACTTCAATTGTACGAAATTAATATGATACTAACTAATAACTGTCCACTGCTGATCATAAGCTTCCCCCTTGGGAGGTCTTGCCAGTAGTTGCCACGCTTGGCAGGCGGATTAGTAACCGCAGTCAGACTTTAGAAATGTTTTAAGAGGGACGCTGTTGCTAATCCTTCGCCCTCCCTTAATCGGCTCTTACGACACCCACGGGAAAGGAAGGCGTGGCTTCTTCTATGCCGGGATCACACAGCCATAGTACTATATAAATAATATAAATAAATAATTATCAATATACACTCCTCGCAAAAATTAAGGGAACATAAAAATTTTTGAAATTTTTGGGTGATTTTCAACAGGCTGTATTTCAGTGAAAAATAATCGTACAGGAAATTTAAAAAAAGGGTTTTGAAGCTTGAAAACTCTAGTTTTCAGATTTTTTGGTGAAAAAATTTTTTGAGCTCCGGTTTCCATGCAATTCTTAAACAAAGCTGAAAATAATTTTTTTCTACATTTTCTAGGTTTCGTTTTTCACTCTATGGGCATGGAAAAATTTTTTCGAGCTACTCCATTGTATAGGTCTCTTAGCGTGTTTATTCAGCTTCAAAAATCGCTTTGGATGGCTCAATTACGACCATTTGTCTCCGAGATATCGAACTTTGAATGCAAAAACATCCTTTTCCATTCAACTGCTAATATCTCTGGAACTACTGGTCGCACAGCAAGCGGGCGCCGAGTTTCTTTATCTGATAAAATTTTCTTGATTTTTTTTCGATTTTTTTTTTAATAATGAATTTTTAAAAACAAAAAATTGAGTAAAAAGTGAAAAACAAATGAAATTATTGATTTTTGAATGGATTAGGGTGAGTTTAAGGGACAAAAACCTTGTTCCCTTATTTTTTCCCAAATTTCAATCAATTGGTCCGGGAAAAACCGTTGAACCGATTGCTCCAGGAATTTAGGGGGTTCTTAAAGGAACAATAGACTGTAAAATTTTCCTCAAACCTTAGCTTTCCCGCCCATATTAGCGAAGATACAGCCAAGTAACCAAAAAAGGAGAAAAAGTCACTTTTTTCCACTTTTTTCAATTCAATGTTAGAGGTGGAAAAAAAAACAGGGTTTTTTTAACTCTTGACTGTGCTTAATTGGAAATTTTATGCAGATAAAGAAACTCGGCGCCCGCTTGCTGTGCGACCAGTAGTTCCAGAGATATTAGCAGTTGAATGGAAAAGGATGCTTTTGCATTCAAAGTTCGATATCTCGGAGATAAATGGTCGTAATTGAGCCATCCAAAGCGATTTTTGAAGCTGAATAAACACGCTAAGAGACCTATACAATGGAGTAGCTCGAAAAAATTTTTCCATGCCCATAGAGTGAAAAACGAAACCTAGAAAATTTAGAAAAAAATTATTTTCAGCTTTGTTTAAGAATTGCATGGAAACCGGAGCTCAAAAAATTTTTTCACCAAAAAATCTGAAAACTAGAGTTTTTAAGCTTCAAAACCCTTTTTTTAAATTTCCTATACGATTATTTTTCACTGAAATACAGCCTGTTGAAAATAACCCAAAAATTTCAAAAATTTTTATGTTCCCTTAATTTTTGCGAGGAGTGTATAATTGATTAAAAAAATTTTATTCTTATTTTTATGATTACAGAACCAAGTGAGGTTATTATGGGCAACTTGCCTTAGCCTCGCCATCTATACTATTGTCAGTCCCTACAAGATGGGGCTGGAGGGCTACCAGTATGATCCAGATCAGGCCGCCACGTTCGCTACCTACTCGCCGATCCTGTGGGGGATTTTCATGTGTATAGCGCATTGGGCCGTTTCTAATAACTATGCTAGTAAGTACCTTATTCTAATTTCAAAATGTCGATATGAAGCCTTTAAAGAACATTGTTATCGAAAGTGATTCAACATTTTTTAATATTTCTGATTATTTAAAAACTTCTCTGATAGCAAACTTCGTTAAGCTTTATTATTTTCAAAACTTATGTCCATTTTTTTTATCCGATGTCTATAAACTTGATTGAACACTCTAAATTTACAATTAGTTACAAAAAACTTTATTAAGTCACAAATATTTTATTAGTTTGAAAGGGTTTCTAAGAGAGATATTCTTTTATAACTGCTCTTATCGTATCCGCCTTTATACATAGGCCTCCTTTTCCTGTCTCCATGCTTGCATATCCTTAACCACTTGCATCCATCTCGTGTCAACTTGTTGGTACATATTATCCAACCATTTCTTGGATGGGTCATTCCTACCAAGGAATTATTAACAATGCCCCTATTATCACGAGTTATTATAACTCATGCACTTCTTTGTAGTTAGAAGAATTACTTTTATGCAATTCATAATAAAGGTTCTCTCTAATATAATAATTTATAATCAACTAGCTATTACCCGTGACTTCGTCTGTATGACCAGGATATCTTCACTGACCGGAATAAAAGTAGCCTGTATTCTTTTCCATCCCATATAGCCCCTATATATAAAATTTCATGGTGAATAGGTAAGCCATAAAGCCACCTTCATAATATTTCAAAGGATAAAAATGTAACAGTAATTACTGAATTGCTTGCTTGACAGCAACCAGAAAGTCGAAAAATCAAATATCAATCCAACATAAGTATGTTTGAATTCTGATTCGAGTGTTTAGGAAGGATTTTTAAATGCACTGTAGAGATCTTGTGCGCATTCTTCGAAATTAATTACACACCTGTAATTAATAACATATACTAACCATGCTAGAATGAAGACCCTTATTACAAAAAAAAAAAACAAAAACTAAAACATTTTAAAAACCAATTTTAACTATTGAAGTGTTTTATCGCTTACATTCAAATTAAGAATTTAGTGCAAAACAAAAAACAAAACAAGAGCTATAAAAGGTCTTTGAGAGGTTTGACGTTTTTATGAATAAGAGAATCAGACTTTAGCTTCTAACTATAGCTGATAATTCAATGAACCTCCTTGCAAAGCGCTAACTAGAACATTACCTCTTGTGTTACTACTGTAAAGCAGCTATGTTTGCACGACTGTTTTGGTTTGAACGGTCACCTGTATTACTATTATAGTAGTCCATAAGTTACGTAGGCGTTTTACCAACAAACAGATTGTATGTTTGTTCCCACTTAAAAAAGCAAGATTAATGCGATTTGACTGTAAAATAATACATCTTACATTACAAATTTCAGGCTTTTTAACAACGATACTCGAATTGCGAGTGTTCAAATTCTTCAACAAGATAGCGTATGGAGTTTACCTGACCCAGTTCCCAATTTTCTTCTACAATGTTGGAGTTCAGAGACACGCGGAATACTATTCACCGTTACTTCTGGTAAGCAGTATAGATATTTGTAGAACTATTGGTCTACTTGAACCTAAGAACAAGAAATTACATAAAAGGAAAGATAAAATAAAAACTGTAAATCATATAGTTGCCTCCTTTCTTCTTATGCAAATATAATAAGTAAAAAGAGGGCGGAAGATACACCATCAGTTGCTATTTTTCTCAATTTATAGCAGGCTAGTGTATGGAAAATGTTATACGGCCGTATAACCCTACCAAATTCAGACACATCCTGCTTGCATACATTGTACATAAACTGTGTCGAATATATAATCTAGTAATGTAAATGAACAAAATTTTTACATACACATGTCCTTAGACTTGACGGAGATACGTCACAGAGTATTCTGTTTGCCCACAGTGCTGTTCGTGTTTATAAGCGACGGTTATCACTTTCCATCAGAAAGACCGTCAGCTTGTTCGACATTCTAATATTTTATAATGAAAAAATAAATAAACCAAAATATACAATCCCATATAATTTTTCATACTAAATTACTAATAATTTATATATTAGATTATATTCAATAGTGCAGCACCTACCCTTTGTCTTATTTTTTTCTTTTCTCAATGTCCTCTACCCAAAGATTGTATGGAAAAGATTGTTTAACGATAAAACCGCCTTTTTTTATCACTTCTCATTAAAATTAATTGTATTTATTACGAGTACATTATAGTTGGTGCAATAAAGTGTAAAATAAATAAATAAATCCACTCAAAGTGAAATCGAAATCAATAATAACCTTTGAAGGGAATATTCTACCAGCAAAACTAAACGCTTTTACCAAAGAAACAACAACGTCAAAAAAATTTGATACTCCCATACTAACACGACACGTTTAGCTGTTTACTTAATGTTACTGGCAAATTGGACTTTTTTTATATATTTAATGTTATATTCTATTTCATATATTTTTTTATCATTCCTTCTCTATACCTATAAATATAAAGTTTACATGACGTATGTGAGAATTCGAAATTTTAATAGAGGAGAGTCAGATTTTTTTTATTTTTAAACGACTTAAAAAACAGAGGAAGTTATCAATCAGTTACCTCATAACTCCATCAGTTATAAATTAAAAATTCCCTGTTTACCTGAATGGATATATTTTCAGATTGGACCTTCTATGGGACCAATCTAATATTTATCAAAATCGGTTAAGTAGTTAAGTTGCCACAACTGAATTCTGCTTTTTGTGGAACACTGATCTTAATTTTAAATTATAGAATATTTGGTACACGAAACTTCTATCCTACTACTATGTTCTACAGGACAGGAAGATTTTTAATTCTATCTACCGTTAATTTATTCGATTTCACTTATATACTTCTCTCCTGTTTCGATATAACTTCATTATATTAACCGCAATAGCAATTTTTCTATATTTTGGTGTCAAGACACAATTATAAACTGCTTAGTTTCCTTATAATTAGCCTTACCTTACATAACCATTAATTGTGCCTAATAAGACTGTTTCTATATTTCAGCTTCACGCTCCAGAAATGTTAAGCATCCTAGTAATATCAATAATGACGACTGTAGCCATCGAGATGCCATTCAACCAAATCTACAGGATATATTTCGGTAAACACTACTTGTATATGTAAATATATATATATATATATATATATATATATATATATATATATATATATATATATATATATATATATATATATATATATATATATATATATATAGGCTATTGCCTATATTATGGAATTTATTCTAGAAAGTTCTTATTTTTCCTTGCATATATACACACTTCAGTATTAATATTTATTTATGTTTCTTTTTTCAGGAAAATCTCAGATTAAATTAAAAGACAAATAAACGCATGGACGTCAACAATTAGCATAAGATTAGAATAAAATGTACATATAAGTATAAATACTTAAACTAAGCCAAACATCACGTAATTAGATTGTAGATAACTTTGATAATTTTTATACCTGATGATTACATTAAGAATAGAAGACGATGAGTTATTTAAATGAAATAAAGGAAAAATTAAAAAAATATATTAATTTATTAACTTTGTTTCATTTTTTACATATTTAACCTTAACTACTAGAATTATTTAAAATACGAATACTATAATTTATCTAGAGTGTAAGTTCAACGTCATTTGATTTTAAAAATGTTTATTGTCTTTTTTTAAAAATGGAAAATTTCCATTAGTGTCAAATTGCCACTCGTTACAATTATTCGATATTCGTCGTCATCAAATGAAGATAGTAAATAAAAATTTTCATGTAAAACTTTTAATAATTACTTCAACACGTAATTGTTCAATTAGTATACGGTATACCTTTTCAAAAGGTATCTTTTTTTTTAAATGCGCTGCAGCGCAGTGTTAAAAATTAAACATCACTATTTCCCTTTTACATTTATAAACATTAGACTGTCATATACGCATTCTAACAAAATGGAAGAAGTTTATAAAATGATTTACTATATATAATACAATATGTATCTGAATTCAATAAGAGAATTTATGTACAAAACACATAAATTGTCTTAGCGAAAAATATAACGACTTTTATAAATATGGATATCTCGTCATAGTCGTAGAATACTGACGGATCTGACAAATATAACATATAAAGATCCGTCAGTGTTCTACGACTATGACGATCTATCTAAAGTAAAAATATAAATTCAAATTAACGAATTAAATTTTACCATTTGTTTTCTTTAAACTCTTCATAGAAATAATTAAATATACCAAATTAGTTCGAAGACAGTACAAATACAAGCCTTTATGATCTAAATACAGTAGATATAAGTAATCTATCATTTTCATTCTGCCCTTGTACCATGGTGATAATACAATACCTACTTTTTCAATGCATATCTCTAATACGGCGCATAAGATTTCCCCCTAAAACGAGGAATTATCCTTATGGGAATACCGCAAATTCTTATATATTATTTCATAGCCAATATTAATATACGAATATAACTTATATTCACGTATAACAAAAAAAAATTATTTATTTATTCATTATCATCTATCTATCTTCATGTTGAGTCCCTTACGGGATAAGCAGAGAGAACCTAGTGCCAAAGACATCTATCCTCGCATACATCTCTTGTTTCCTGCACTTTCATAGTATTTCATCGTCATTTCAATTGTTGAACACAAATTTCTCATAGATGCAGATATGCATTTAATCTAGCTTTGTTTATGCAACTTAGAATGTCAAACAAGCTGACAGCCCACCTGACAGAAATTGGTACCCGTCGCCTATAGAAATGCTCAGTACCATGGGCATAACAGATTATACTGTTTTGCCCATGCGTTGCCATTCCTGAGGACTCAGGTGTTATTCCTCTGTACCCTGTAAATTCACTGCCATATCCCACCCTTGAAACCGAAACACAGCCATGCAAACACAATTGCTTCACAGTAGAAATACGAATGTGATAGAAGTACCCAAGCAAACGACTTTTGTACAAAGTCTCTCCTGTATAGCTACTATAGGACTGGCCTATACAGGATATATATATATATATATATATATATATATATATATATATATATATATATATATATATATATATATATATATATATATCTATGGAATAATCATAATACGGTTGTCTTCTTTTTTCTCGTCCGCACTCAGCACGCTGTTCAATATTGACAGCACTAAATAATAGGTAAATTATAATCTAAAGTCCATTTCACTACAACGTTTAATGATGGTTACTACTTTTTACAATTTATGAGCGTTCATAACTTTGGCTTACCGAAGTATAGCAATGTCGTAATTAATTGCCAATCTTCAAAAACAAATGAACATCTTTCAATGTTTCTGGCTGATTATTTAAAAAGATCTCTGCTGGTGTTGCCATACTTTGTTATGAATGCTCTTGGTATCATATATAATAAATAGATTCTTAGTTAATTTTAAACTTTCACGTAAACAACGCATAAACAACACATATTTTAAATACACAATCGAGACTTAAAGCGGTGAAAAAAAAACCTTTGCGGGTAAATACAATAGTACCTTCTTTATTGTCGACTTTTTTCAATAAATAGAAACTTGTTTTTTTTATATTACTATTAAAACAAGTATGTAATTCTACTTAAATTTTATAATTTTCAATGATAGTCAATTTGAAATGGCCAAGGTTTTTAGATACATTTTGATGCTGATCATATTATCTTGCGTACTATAATTTAATGTAAATACTATATGAAATATTTACTAAATTAAAAAACTTAATTATATTTTTAATATTATTTAATGGCGAGATTAATATATATTTAAAAATATATTTACAATATCTTTAATATATTAGTGTATGTCACTTATAATTATAAGAATGTGCTACTAATAATAATTAGTACCCTAAGAAATATTCCAAATATTTGAAATATTTTCAAATTATTGGAGTAAAAAATCTAATTAAGACTATAGACGGCTTGCCCCCTGACAAATTATATTGAAACGCATTTGACGAAATAATAACAAACCCCAAACATTAATTAAAGGTTTAACAATATACGTTACTTTTAGTTCTTTTTTAATATTCATCGTCATCAATTTCACTAAAGAATAAAATGCCTTCAATTACCCATATTAGATTACAATCATTAGTAGATATAAAGAACAGCCTTTAATCATCAGTCTTGATGGTATCAAAGACAAAATTCGTCATTTGTTACAACACCAAAGCTTATCATATAATTATGAGTTTTATTTGCCTTTACATTAGACTCCCAGTTTCCACCAAAATAGATGTTGTTAAAACATGTTGTGGTTGCAACATGTATAAAATTTTATATATGTAAATATTTTATATGTACAATATAAATATATGTTGTACACACCTAGTTTTCATACCAGGTGTCATTACAATCATAGGTGCATTAGCCAATCACTTGATGGTAATGGCAAGCCGTTGGCTAAATAGCAAGATGCTTGCTTCATCGTCGCAATGCTGTTGTATAGTAAAGACTAAAATAGTTTATTCACTTTCTATGTCTAAACAGCCACAATTCTTAATGGCATTTTCAAATGAAACTGCTCTATACTCGAGATCATTATACAGTAATATGGACAGTGGTGTCAGCTCTTCGAATTGAGCCTTGTGTCTTCCCTGCAGTCGGGTGGTAGTCTGCCAGGTCTACATTGACATTTTGTTGAACCGTAGGAGTCTTTTACCAGCCACGAATATTCTGGGCATGGTCCTTGTGTATGGAGGGTGTGACAAGCACCACCGTATGAGGCGGATCCCCTTCTAGATGAGCAAGCTTCGACCTGCAATTACAAATTTGCGTTCGTGTTAATCGATATGATACAAAATTATTTATATTTGCACACACACAATATAGCTGTTTAGAAAAAAATGATAAAAAAAAATCTCAAAGTAGCATCGCGTGGGATAGTATTATTGAGGTAATCAACTAACTTGGTATATTTTCATTTAAAGCTTTCCTAGGAATATTCTAATATAGAATAGACATAATTACACTAATATATGAATTGTCTGTATAAATACAGGAGATTATTGAACTCAGTATTTTTTTTTCATTAATTCCCCGTATATATACATTGAATAAAAATGAACTTAAGCTTTAAAAATAATATATAAATTATTATATACTCGTAATAAGTATAATAGTTAACTTGATGAACTCCATATCACCTACAACGCCATCTATTAAAAGTAATCCGAAGCGATTTCCATACTGAATTCCCTATTTTAAAATTTTTTAATTTTCAGCTGAACCTTTTGGGTTTCACAGACATTTTTCTTAAACTACCACTCTATATTTATCATAACAAGCAGAACAAAAAAAAATATTCAAATTGGTTAAGCCAGTTTTGAGGTTTAGCGAGTCTAACGAATAGCAAATGAATTTTATATATATATATATATAAATATAATAAATATATTTATGTAATATTCCAAGGGCTGACCTCAAAAGATGGATGTAATATTGAAGCAAGCATATTAAACCCCTTGATAATACCAGACTATAAAGAACTGTAAGTGCTCCCTGAGAATGCTAAGTAAACCCTTTTTAGTGGCTTAATTATTATTGTTAATGTTAAACTTATATTACATTATTCTTTTCTGCAAAGCTAATATGTTTGAATATTTTTTTATTTCTCTCTTCCCTAAGCTTTGCTTTCTCGCTCTCTTTTAAGCTTTACTCCCTACTCCACTTTTATTTTTGTCGGGTAGCTATGCTTATGTGTTTCAGTTTGAACGGTAGGATATAGCAGTGAAATTACAAGGTACGGAGACACACGAGGAGTACCATAGACATCACATACTGTCCATGATTATAGGCCGTCAGTCAGTATCATAAAAACAAGTACCTCTCGTCTGGTGCAAACTCCGCTGCCACACGCGCAGACACCATTGTGGCTCAGTCCATCGAGCGCCGGCCTGGCTTCAAAATCAAAAGCCACCACCTCCCCAACGGGACATGGCTCGGCCGCGCCGGGCCTGTAGCAACGCCGGCGCTCTGGCACGTACAGGCGACCTCTGGCACAAGGCAACTGAAAATGATATGAACGGACCCTTAGAATCCAAATGACATGAAGGTCCCCTTAGGTTAATTCGAACATTTCTTACTAAATATTATCGTACCTATCTTTTTATTCTACTTAAATTACATAGAACACTGTCAGCACATTTTTTACATCTGTTTTTACCCAATTGCCAATTAAAAGGACTTTATTTTTCAAGATTAAATATAAATACATATTAAGCAGGTAGTTTGTCCAAATCTTTGGTCCAATATGTAGGAAACACAGATAATGTCAATGCAATTATAAGATTGCGGCAATGCTAAATATGACAACATAAATATGACGATAATTCAAAATAAATATTTAAAATATATTTTACTTAAAAAAGTAACCAAGCTAATTTTAGGAATAATTAGGTAAATCTCTCTGATTCTATGTAAATTTCTGTCTGTGAAGCAAAACCTTAAACAATTTCTATAAATGTCTTGAACATCTCACCTTGATGCATCTTCCTCCTCTAGCAATCATTTCATCATGAGCACAAGGCCCTCTCGTGTACAGCCTATAACAGGCGCCATCTACAGCCCGAGCGTGGAATGACTTGCACTTGCACTCAGCCTTGGAGCCGTACGGACTCACTTGCGAAATTGAAAACACGTGTCCTTTTGGACAAGGGCCTATAGTGTCTGAAACATAAAAGATACAATAAATTTTTTTTACATATATTAGTACTGCAACTCCAAAGGTTTCGTGCTATCATAAATTATATTTAAAAATACAATTTTAAAATTATTCCTCTACATTTGCTATAGGATCTGCCTTTGCTTCATATATCATGATTTCTGAAGCACGATAAATACCATAAAATTTTTATTAAAGAAAATTAATATCCAGAAAGAACACAATATTATGGCCTTGAATATAATTAAAGTGTGCTTATTGTAAATTCTAAAGATTTATTATTTTTAAAGGTGAAAACTCCAAATCTTCAAGATTTGGAGTTCTTGGCTTGCAGCAAGCAAAGCTTAGCAGACGGATCGACAACCGCAATTAGGCTTTAATTATGTTTTAAGTGGGGCGCTGCTACCCATCCCTCGACTAGTAAGTTTCCTTCTATTACACTGATGTAATATATTGAGTAATCACCTCCTACAATATCCTGGAGACAACAATGAATGGTGACATTGTATTTTCCATCGCGATATGGAGAACAAAAACAACATAAACGTTTCGAAATTACCTAATTCGTAACAAGCGCCAGTGTCGTTATGGTAATGAGGCAAGTGACTTTCACAACCACATTTAGCGCCTGGCAAGAAGAGCTGGCCTTTCTCACAAGGCCCTCTGGAGTAGTGAGCATAACACCCTCCGTCTCCAGCCCAGTAGTGAGGACCATCCGACGCACACTGAAATAAAACACATTAAAAAACTAACCTTTGAGGATTATATTCATAAATCTATTGCTTACTGAGTATTTCGACTACCAGACTACCAAATATTTGAATTAATTCATCATTATCATCATATCAGCCTTTAACTGTCCACTGCTAAACATAAGACTCCCCCTTGGGGGGATTTGCCAGTACCTGCCACGCTTGGCAGGCGGATTGGCAAGTGCAATTAGGATTTGGAGATGTTTTAATAGGGGCGCTGCTGCCCATCCTTCGACAATAAGTTTCTTTAATCGCTTCTTACGACATCCACGGAAAAGGAAGGAGAACAATAAAATATAAAATCTTAGTTCAGAATGAAGACATACCGTACAATTAGCGAGTCCATCATCACCCAAGTCCAGTATCGAGCCGGTGTAGCAAGGTCCCTGACTCAGCCGGTAGTAGCACCGGCCATCTGCTGGCCAGTAGAGCAAGGTCTCGTCAGCGCACTGCTGAGGACGCACGCACATGCCTTGACGCTCGCTGCAACGCGGAATAGTCAACTAAGCAGACATTTCGAAATAATGCCAATTGTGAATGAACAGTTGAACTTGGGTTTTACCCACGGGTAACGGTGATTGTTTCATCGATTCAATGAGACATCCTCATCCGTTTAAAAATTTAAAATAGATAATATCAAATTTTTAAAAGTTTTCGTTTTCTACGAACAATGACATTAGGAGGATTTTCTGTTTTTATGGAATAGAAAACATTATTTTTGGAAATTGAAAAATTGTATTTAAGGACAGAATGTCCTTCTCAGATATTGTATACGCATTGCCAATCCTAAACAAAATCTTGTCCTATTCTCCATTAAAACTATAGCTGTCTTTTGAAAAAACACAAGAAAGTACTTGCAGGAGAAAACTCCTCAAAAACTGATCTGCTATCTGGGAGAAGGGGAAGTAATAAGAAGGTATGAGGAAGATCAACATCTAAATCTGCTAGACACATCCATCTAAATTATTACTTATAAACTTTATAAACAAATCTGATTATCAAAGTACAAATCCGATAGAAGTCACAACACAAGAATCTATGACAAGCCAATCAAACATGAAAGAGATATGGATAATTTAAATAATTCTGATGCTAACCAACCCTCGCTTGTTAAATGATTCCTCTACAGGCGCGAAGTACTCTCCCAGGCGACAAGGGCCGCGCTCGAACAACTTGTGGCAGGTAGTAGAATGGGGCAGCTGAGCGGTTCCCGGTGGACACTTACACTCGGCCACCGTGCGCCCGCCCCACCGAGCTGGACTAAGCTCCTGTGTTTCAGGACAGGGGTGGCCTTTCTGCAAAACAAATTATAATCAGTGATACTTGTGGAAATTCGTCCAGGACTTTTAATGTTTGGATGACTCATTAAATAGCTAACAATTTTTTTATTAAATTTAGTACACGAACAGTAGTGTCCTACAATAACAGTCACAATTTTCTATTAACATTTAATTACTGAGTATAAATTTCTACATAAAAAAAAATAGTCTAACCTATTGTTACCATTACTACGCTGGCCAAACCATTTAGTATGTAAGTTCATTTACAATTTTGCTTTTCTCACATATAGCATTTTCAAGGAATCTACCATGACACATTATTAGTAATGGGGTCTAACTAACCCATTGCTAGCTATGCACCCTATCAGGTCTACCTCCACGCAGTTCCCCCTGGAAACCATCGCGGTTAATTCTTGTGGAATTCGTCTTTTATCGTCACCTATCATCCCTCACTGCTACCTCGCCAGCGTATACCGATAGCGCAAAAGGGTTACCGTTCCTTTATTATCCATTAAAAAAATCTTTCATTATTATAACATTAAATACTTTTTTCGTTCAACTTCGAAACCACCTAAAAATTTTCATGACGATTTTTTTTTTCAGATGACAGTTTTAAAAATAAGCGCGATACACCTACAAAATAAAATACTAAATGCAAATAAAAAAAAACGACCTTAACCATGACTGATAACTAGGTCTGGGTAACATGAACGAGAATAAACAAAACAAAATCAGCTCAATACATCTTCATAAACCGTAACTAAACTATTTATATAACACGTATTTTCAAATGACCTTAAAATTTGATTGACGATTCTCTATTCGACTGTTTTATGTGTATTAATGTTAGGTATTATATTCATTAATCGAAGGAATTTATTTCCGTATTTTAATGGGTGATAATGGAATGGTAACTCCACCTGCGCTATCGGTATACACCGGCGGGGTACCAGTGAAGGATGATACGTGAGGATGAAGCAGGTCAGTTAGCCCATCGTGACGAATTCAACAAGAATTGTTCACGATGGTTTCCAGGGGAAACCACGTGGAGGTCGACCTAATAGGGCAAATTGCTAACAATGGGGCTGTTAAACTCCATTGCTAACAATCCCTTTCCCCCCAATTTATTTCCGTATTAGTTCCGTTTTAATTTAGTCACAATTGTAATCGTTATTTTCGAGGAAAACGTTGGCAACGCATGAGAGATACTATGGACAGGTTAGAGAGAAGGTATTGTTAATAATGGAGAGTAAGGACCTCATTGCTAACAATATAACAACTTTTTTTTTAATGGATGATTAATGAAATGGTAACTAATGTCCTATCAGTCCTAGGTAGTAACTATGTAAACTTACCCTATTCTACTTATGATTAGGTCGAAAATAATTTGCTCATTCTTTCTTGTCTAAAATATTATAGAGAGGCATTAATAAACTTATTAAAGATCACACATATCCCGCAGTTTTGTCCGTGTGAATTAAGATACGGTTTAATCCCTCTCTTGGTGGTGACAGTGTAAGAGCATGTCGTCACTTCTCATCGATAGGATGTCGTAAGAGACCATTAAGGAAATAAAACACAATGCAATAGTGCGGTTACTACATTCCATCAGATAAACTATGGTATAATCTGTGCAAGGTTATACATATAAATGACTACAAACTGTTGTTTATTGGTTACATAAAAAATAACATTGGGTTTACAACAATAAAATCGTTGACAAAATGTCTAGGTAGGTGAAAATTATATTTTAATTTTAAAGACATCCGCATTAAGTTATGTATATTTTTATCGAAGTTAAAAACAATGAACAAAAACCTGAATTGAACATTTTTATGCGAGTAATTCAATCAACATTTATACTTTTTAGGTTTTTATAATTTTGCATGCCTAATTATGGCGAAATATGTTGATTTCGTGAAGCAGTTGTGTTTGCATGGCTGTGTTTCGGTTTGAAGGATGGGATATGGCGTGAATTTACAGGGTACAGAGGAATAACATCCGAGTCCTCAGGAATGACAACGCATGGGGGGTATCATGGGCGAAACAGTATACTCTGTTATGTCCATGGTACTGCTCATGTCTATAGGCGACGGTTACCACTTTCCATCAGGTGGGCGGTCAGCTTGTTTGCCAATCTAAGTAGTATCAAAAAAAAAATACTTAGATATTATTAATATCTATACACTTATCATGTTTCTTGTAAATAATTCATAATCCATATCTGTTTTTTTTTTTATCTGAGCAAAAGAATAATTAATATAAATAAATACACAATATTCAAATACAGTATTCTTTTATTGAGCCAATATCTACTTAAATATTACCATAATATATTGATGTATGTTATGTCATAATTGATGAGATTAAAGATTTCGTTGACAATAAGTAGGTACTTACAATAAACACATTGATATTTTGACCATAGACAGTAAAAGAAATAAATATCTCGTGTCATCAAAACACGTAAGTATACCATCAGCCACCATAGGCGCCAAAGTGGTACAAGCTACGACTTCGTGATTTGAATAAGTAGTCGTAGATAGATGCCATGAACTTCAATTAGTTTTATCTCTCTCTAACTGATGATCTGTGTCTATTTGATTGCGTCTTAAGAGATTTACTTAATAACATTACTTATCTTAAGACTCTTCAAAGAACAAGAAATAGCTATTAAATACGTAGATAAATAGAGTACAGAATATTATGGATCTAGTTTAGTGAAATTTATATTGTACCAACCCCGACTTATAGCTCAAATGCTCAAGGCTTCAAATATGGCTGACACCAAAAACTTCGTTTTATAATAAAAAAAAAATCTGACTAATCCTCCTGTAATGAAATACATCATAATACACAAAATTAATCTGAGAGACTTGGCTCTAGACGTATAAGTATACTTGGATTCTACAACGTTGGATTCTAATTACATGTCTAAAGATTATTGCATTGTAGAACAAATAAAATAGATAAAAGCTTCGAGGTAAAAAAAAAATTTAGTGGGACACCTATTTGAAAAATAACACTTTTTAATAACAAAATTTCTCTTATAATGTGATTACCAATAAACCGAGTAGGTTGTCAAATTGACGGTATTTTATGTATATGTTACATACATAAAATAGGTCCGCAATAGTACAAAGTTCCTCGCCTATATTTGTTTGTCTGTACATTATACCTAACCTATGAAAAAGGAAGGCTAATTGGGCCCTGCATAGAATAGGCCAACCCTTCCTTTCCCATGGGTCTCATAAGAGGCTTAGGGAGGACGAGGAATGGGCAGCCTTTTAAAACACCTCCAAAGGTTAACTTTGGTTGCCAATCCGCCTGCCAAGCATGGCAACTACTGGCAAAATTCCCCCAAGGGGAGGCTTATATTCAGCAGTGGACAGTTAGAGGCTAATATAATGATGATGATGATGATGAAAAATTTTAAAAAATGAGACATCGACCAATCTTTTGAGGTAAGTTGTGCATTACTGTCACTGATTTCGACTTAAGTTAGATATTATGAGTAACTATGCAGTAGTCAAGCATTAAGTTCACAGTGATGTCTTTACATAACACGACCCTTGAACTCAGTTGCAGGAACACGTTCGATACCTACTGCTGTCACGAAGTCAACAAACGACCTCTGATTAAATCTCATTGCATTACTACTACATAGCATGTACATATACATTTTGCTCCTCAAAAAAACAGCACCTCTTATCATGAGCAAACACATCGATAAACTACTAGTTGTCTCGTGTAGGTACCTATTTATTTTACAGATTGAAGATATTTTTTTTATACAACTTACAATGGCAAACAAGCGGACAGCCCACCTGATGGAAAGCGGTAACCGTCGCCTATAGACATGAGCAGTACCATGGACATAACAAAATATACTGTTTCGCCAATAATACCCCCCATGCGTTGCCATTCCTGAATACTCAGGTGTTATTCCTTTGTATCCTGTAAATTCATTGCCACATCTCACCCTTCAAACTAAAACACAGCCATACAAACACAACTGTTTCACGGTAGAAACACGACACAGAGGTGCCTAAACAAATGACTTTTGTACGAAGTCTGCCTCTGGTAAAAATTGAAATAATAGAACCAGGAAGCCTATGTTTACAAGTATATTTACCTTCGCAAGAAAAAAAAAATGTACTCACTTAAATCGTCACATCTCATTTTGTATATATATGGTGGCCCCATATTAAAAACGGAAATAAATTGGATCCATTACAAAATTAATTATCAAAATCGGTTTAGAATTAACGACGTTATTACGCAACAACAATCACAAAACATAAAGAAGAAAAAAAATGGTTGTCTGAAAGAGATTGCTTTAGATAAGAGCGCCTTTTATACTCTATAAATATAATATATCGTCATAGTCGTAGAATACTGACGGATCTTTATATGTAATCTTCGTCAGATCCGTCAGTATTCTACGACTATGACGATATGTATATTTATTTTCGTATTGTTCTTTAAGTAGTGCAGTATAAATAAATAAACAAATAAAAATTGAGAACTTCTACTTTTTGAAGTCGCTTAAAAATATATAACATATTTAATCTATTATTATAATATATTAATTTGTAATCATCATTTCATTTCAGCCGTTAACTGTCCACAGCTGAACATAAGCCTTCCCCATAAGGGGAGTATTGTCAGTAGTTGCCACACTTGGCAGACAGGTTGACAACCGCATTTAGGCTTTTGGGACGCTGCTACCTATCCCTCTATTATTAAATAAGTTTAATACGACACTCACAGGAAAGGAAGGCGTGGCGCATTCTAAGCCTTATATATATATATATATATATATATATATATATATATATATATATATATATATATATATATATATATATATATATATATATATATATATATATATATATACTTATAATAAATCTGTTAAGAGGTCAATTCTGTACATGAAATATATTTCTAAAATAACTATCAGGGGGTGATTAGTGATCGATACTGATGCCAAAAATGCAATCAGTAAAATT